CCTCCCTCAACTCTCCTTTATTAAAGAAAACACAGAGCAAGTGAAAGTTACAGTGAAGTTGTATTAGCTTTCAACACAGTCTTTCTATCTGCACTGTTGATGGAAAAATATCAGCCTTCAAATTCCACATTAGCTGAACAGAAATTATGTTTGTTGTCTTTTCTTACATCAAGCAACAGCCGCACTACTTCTGTTTTGCCATAGAGGGCAGCCTCGTGGAGAGATGTCCCCGCTTTGGTGGCTCGGTTGATGTCAATGCCAGCTTTGAGCAGCAACCTAGGCAATCAAATCAGAAACACGCATGTAAGGCTGCAGGCGAAGCTCAGAAAAAGATTCATCTATTCAACTGTTACAGACATCTGCAACATCTCATTAAGTCATATACCCCCCACTCATCCACCCACACACACATTAGCTAACGAATACTGTTTGCCACTGGTTCTGTCAGAGGCCTAGATGTAGGAATGCTGATGGCATTGTATCCAGACAGCGGAGCAGGAGGTGGAAGAAGAGGAGGAGGTGGTCCTTGGCTCAACTTGTGGAGGTTGAGTCAGGTTTTTGGAAATGTAAACAACACCGAAGCATTGCTGAAGGATACTAGCTGGATTCATGCACATGTTGTTTTCTGAATGTTAACCAGTACCAAGCACATTGTTACCACCAGTTTGTCTGCTGGGCGCTACACTGCTGCATCTACTTTCATTGTTGCAGGCTGTTTCCATTCAACTGTACAGCAATTTAGAGTTACTTAGGTATGTGTGTGTGACATTTGTAAAGGACTAGAGTGGACAGATACCTCACAGACAAACTTTTAGCGAGCTCAAAGGCAGGTTTTAATTATTGTGGAGTAAGACTATGACATAGTATCAGGGCCACGTCAGGTGAAAATATTTAAAGATTAAGTGATCTTATAGAATTACATATCTTATAGAAAATACCCCAAAATTGGAACTAATTACGATTAATGTGGTGTAAGACCGTTTTAATTTTTTTCCCCTTCCTTTTCTAAGTGGTATTACTATTGGAGTCATTGTCCAAAAGACAGGATCGCTTTCCATTTTTCTCAGAGCTTTGGAACTGCCAACAAAACACGGCATTAAATGATCAACACTACTTCACAGAAGAGAAGAAAAAAGCATGTTCTGTTACGAGGTAAACAATCACAATTTTACATGGAGTAATATACTTTGAATATTGTTTGGCACAAATAGGGCAGAAAGGGTGTTGTTGGGGTTGGAGTGTGCGCAGTTGAAAATACTGGGAGAAAAGTTGAGAGTTCCTTGTTTTATTTAGTCTATAGTAGAGACATGAAAGTTGAATGGTAGAGTGGGTTGTCCACTGGTGTCCACTGCTTGATGGCAGCTCTGCCACCACTGGTGTGTGTGAATGGTGAATAGGAGACATTGTAAAATGATTGGGTGCCCCTAAGGTAGAAAAGTGCTATATAAGAAAAGTGCTTTCAAGTTGTTTAGGGTTCATATCCATGAGGACTTCAGAAAAGCACAGCAGAGACTACTTCCTGAGGAAATTTAGACTACCACGATCACTCTGCAGCTTCTACTGGCACAGAGACCATTGACTGGTAACATCACGGTACGTGAACTGCGCTTGTGTGCAGTTTATACAGCAACTGCATACAAGTGCACTGTAAGTTCCTGCAAAAAGTAATTTAAAAAAAGTCAGCTCAGCACATAATAATGTAGGTAAACTGTATATACAGTGTATCTATCAGCAGAGAGCACTCGGAGGGCTAACAACATGATCAGGGGCCCCATCGACCCTGAGCACCACTTCGTCAAGGACAGTTTCTACTCCCAGGTCATAAGACTGATTAACACTTCCAAGCCGCTGCCCAAAGGACTTAAAGCAATCTTTGCACTACTGTATATGTACATCCTGACCTTTCACACCATAAACATTGCACATAATGTTTTACACACTGATCTTTTTCACTGTTAATTGCACATTCAATATTTGTCTGAGCATTTTTGAAAGAGTGCATTCTGTCAACAGGTTAATTAAGGCACTAGATACAGTTACAGTGACTTAAGAGTTTTATCGCTGTGATAACGTCTTTATTATTGCATGTGAAAATGAAAGCCTTTTGAATCCTTTGAATATAAGTGCAGACCATTTACCATACTTAAGAGTAAAACAGCCAACAGTAGGCAGGTTTGTTGTTGTGATTTAGTTGAAATAATGCCATCTGAATATTGGTTTTCATCCCTCTGAGTCTTGGAGCTCTCTCTTACTCTCCAGAGTGAATGTGTGTCTTGTGTCTCTACTATAGACCAAATGAAATTAAAAAAAACTCTTACTTTTTCTCCTATTGTTGTGTTTGCTTCTTTCTCCAGTAACTTATTGGCACAAAACATCACACAAACTATGCTCCATATAATTATGACTATTTCGCTCTTGTTTTCAGTGTCATACTCTCTGTCCCTTCGCCTTCTTTACCTCTTCCAAAAACAGGGCTCTTCCAATTTTGCCCTGCTTCATCCTTGGGCTTAAACAGTTACTCTATCTGGGGTAGCAACTGCTAGCTATTTGGGGAAAACAAAAACACGATCCTTGTCCTGTTTTGGTTGCAAAGTTGCAAACACACTTTCTTTGTGCAGTAAATTGAGCCTTGTTTTTTGGGTAGTAATACAACGCTAAAAGGAAGAATTGACTTTACAAAACTTGTCACTTTACGTCTATAAATACATATGAACAATTTATTTACCTAAGCATTGTGTAATTATTTTTTAAAGTTAATACTATAATATAAAAGCAAATTTGACAACAAAAAACATAATCCTTTAACACATAAAATCCAACATTCTGCGTTCACCCATTTACTAAGGAGGAACAGGATCGTGTGGTGTTGGTACATCATACATTTTTGCAACTTACAAAAAAAGCCATAGGATCACAAGAATGAAGACAAAATTTAACAAGAAAAACCACATCCTTCCTTTCACCAAGTGTAACAATAATTGTAATACTACTAATTTTTAGTGTAAATTCAACATTTTAAGCCAATATTATGAAAAATACAGGCAATTTTATTAGGAAAAATACTGTTTACTTCTCCAATTACCTCAACTCTATACTATGGTTCAAAGAGAAGGAGAAAACATATTATTGCAATTTAATATGTGATTCATGTAATATTACAACTTAAACATAGATTTTTTTCATAAAACTACAACTTTTGCTTTTATATCTTTAGAGCTGGGGCTTTATTGTCCAAATACTATAACTATGTTTTGTCAAACTATTGAGATTTTGTGCACAAAATCTTTGAATTAAGCTGACTGTAGGTAAAAGCTCGATGGTGGCTTGTGAAACGATAATGTTGCTGACGAACTCTACTGACTTGCCATAACCCAGGGGCGCTGGACAGAGTAGGGGGAATTTTAAGCCGTGAAAAATGATGGAAAAGGTAGCCTGAAGCGCATCTATTGTAACCTGCAACTTCTCCCTTCAGCTGCAACAGTGTTGCTATAAAACTTTAAGAAGCCTGAATGTCTGAAGTTTAGGGCTAAAGTTTTCCATTTCTGTCCTACAGATAAGCAGTTGGTTTACTCTCAAACACCCATCACTACGCAAAACTGCACCACATGTACTGTACACACTAAGTATAGAATGCAGTTTCTCAACAACCACCAAAGACAACAGATGAAGGATCAAATTTCAGTATGTATTATTCCAATTAGAAAATTTCCTGAGAATTTCTTTTTATTTACAGTTTATAGTCATTACTGAGCTTTCCTCATACATAGAGTATATATGTATGCTGTAAAAATAAATCTCATCTTTCCTGGTATGAAATCTCATCTCTCGGTTGTCTGTGTGCAAATGTTTGCAGTTCCAGTTCTAACCAGATCTAGAAAGCTTCTCCAGATATGACAAAAAGAAGGTACTATGAAGACGTTTTCTGCGTAAGTATGGTAGTCTTTGAAGAGACATAAATCCCTTAGCAGGAGATAAGTCAAATTCTGCTGAGTAAACTCTGAATAAACTTGTATGCTAATGCAGTGAGGTTTTTTTTTTTTCCCTTTAAAATTCTGTACGTGTTACACCTCCAGCTTCTCTCCTGCATGTCTAACTATTCAGCTTTCCAGTTCAAGAGCAGGAGAGTGGAGGATAAAAAGAGTGTTGCAAGAGATAGTTGATCATTTAGGGAGTATGGGAATCGTTAGCTGCATGTCTGGGAAGCAGGGTGGGGTTTCTTGGCTAAGTACATACATATTTACACAGATATGATGGTAAACACACTGAGCCACTGAAAAAATGAATATTATAGTCAATGGGATTAAATATCACTTTGGTGCAATGTTTCCTTTTTGGATAGGTTGGCTGTTTACTTTCGGAAGCTACCTAGCGAATATGTTAAGCACACAAATCCGTTCATTAATCGGTACTTCAGGTGGAGTAATAATAGAAGTACAAATCACAATAGCAATAAGAATAATTGCACTGTGTTGTAGATGTGATGTTGTAATATAAGCAATTATAGAGATAGAAGCAGCATCAGCAGCAACAACAGCAGCAGCAGAAATACTACCAACAATAGCAGCATTAGCTGTAGCAGTGGTAGAAGCGGTAGTAGCAGCAAGTTGCAACATGCTAACATGCAGATAATTATAATACTAACATGTGTATGTTGAGCACATGCTACGTTTACTACATTTACCATCTTAGTTTAGGATAAACTTTATTGATCCCTCACCACAGAAATCTGCAGCAGTGTTAGCCTGCTAACATTTACAAAAGTTATACTATAGTAAACATGTAATTTACATCCTAATAATTGACTGTACATAAAAAATGGATGTACCGATAGCGTTGTCATCCATTGGTTTGTGGACTACTGTTCTGGTGCCTTGAGATTGGAGTTGTTTTTTTTTTTAGTTTTTATTTTTTAAACCAGATGTGACAAGCAAGGGATGGATTTTGATCCCTACAGACACCCATAGCGACTTGTCAATTACAAGGTAGCACCCCCCTAAAGCATATCTCTGATTCATCAATGGGACCATAATTTATAGCATGAACATTATGGTATGCTGAAGGAGACTTGAAAAAAGCAGTTGATACCATAAAATAATCACAAAAAGATTTACAGAAATAACAGATAACAGGAGAAGCAAGGTCTTCTTATGGACCTCTACAATCACACTTCTTTTTGCAACCAGTGGAGTCGTCCACTGCTGGCCATAAGTTTAGGTTTAAGGTACTGTTGCAGTGACTTCACTTTTTAGACCTGAAGGCTCTGTTTATCTTCATACACAGTTAATGAGGAGTAATAGTTTTAGTAGTCATAATCGTCATACTGTCGATAGTGGCAGTAGTCGAGGTTCCAGTTATAGATGTAACACTGGTGAGAAGTGGTAGCAACAGTAAGAGCAGCAGTGGCAATATAAGCAAAAGATGTATTAAAAGTCGTTGCAGCCACAATAGTTACAATCGAAGTAATACTAGCATTAGCATTAGAAAGGCAGGAGCAACAATGGCTGATGCTGTTGCGAAAGTACACAGAAACCCAAAACTTCAGGAACGATGAAAGGGCAGAAACAGACATGTGACTGACAGATATACAGTGCATTTCAACACCGCTCCGTGCTGTGATCTTACTTGATGATGTCTTTGTGTCCATTCCTAGCTGCCAGGTGAAGAGGGGTGGTGGAGGGAGAGTCCAGACAGTCATTCCCTCCCTCTCCTTCTAACAGCGCTGCCACCATATTACTGCTCAGCAGCAACTGAGCCACCTAAAGAGAAATCAAATTGAAGATGAAGTCTTAGCTGGCAGAATCAGGACAGGAATTATGGCATTAGTAATACATAAATAATGTTTATGCAAAGCCAAACTAGCTGACGTTGTGTGGTACAAATATATATTGAAATAATATACTGAAAATGATGACACATATAGGGTTAATTTAGCACACTGAGGCTTATTCACTACTCAGAAGCTGTCTAGAGATACCACTGCCTCCACTCACTCACACACACATACAAAGTCTGCGTGTGTGACAAAAACAGCCCAAAGCCTTCTATTCTTTCACAGCTAAACTGCAAACTCAGACCAGACGAGAGAACATTTAACAAGCATGGGAAGTGTGTGTGTGTCAAATTCTGAATTACAGGGCCAGCTATACATCTCACAGCTCAGCTTATCCGCCGATGTGGCAAAAAAACAGTGAAACACACTGAAATGTCTCTTTAGCGTTACACTGTCCAAAAAGAGTCGCTGAGGCCTGCTTTCCTTTCGCTTAAACAGGCTTTAAATTAGCTGGGTCACTTCATTAAGCTGTGGGTCATGTTTGACATAGGCCATCCTCATCCAAAAAAGGGCAAAACGGGGTGTTTTCACATATAAATAATGGGATTAGACTGATACATGAATGAATCAAATCCCGACCCATGGAGGTTTAATCTCTCATTGAAAAGATTGGCAAAAAAGCAGAATCTGTCCGTATCATGGCCACAAAAAATAATTTTACAGCTAATTACAAATTAACAAAAACTGTTGTAAACTATAAGATGGGTAAACTTTATAACCAGTGCTGTCATCAGTAATTCTGAATGATCAGACACTTATTTTGAATAACAGATCATCATTCACAGATATGAAAATTACATACAAATGTTCTCATACCTTTAGTCTGCCAAACTCACAGGCCAAATCTAGTGGCGTCTTCTTCGCCTTATTCATGAGGCAGGAATTGGACTGGTGCTGCAGCAACATCTCAGACTGAGAGCGAAAGGGAGAAAATGAGATGTAAGTGATATCACCTCATGTTTTATGCACATGCACTTAGATGCCAATCATCCCAACACGTTGGCTACATGTGTGTTGATGTTTTGTCTTTGAACAGAGGAGAGCAACATATGATAGCTCTGGTGTGGACTCTGTTGAGGGTTGTCAGTATTGTGTTCTATGGTGTTCTACTAAAGAGGTCAGGCCTCAGTATGTGTTGTAAGACAGGTTTAGGTGTAAGCATGCATGTCCATGATATGTGTATCTGTCTTTTAAAACATTCCAGCAGCCTAATGGATGAGGCTGAAGGAAAGGAATGTGTGCGGTCACTACACACTTGTGTAAAACTTGGTGTCGTGGCATTAATGGCATTGCCGGTATTGTTGGTGGACAATGTGAGCTGAGACACAAAAGGGGTAGATTTCAGTGAAATGGGAGGACTGGTAATGCCTTGGAACTTTGCCTTTGGGAATTGACTGTCGTCTATGTGTGTGTGTATGTACTCACCACCTCATAGTGTCCATACTGTGCAGAGAGATGTAGTGGTATCTGTCCATCATGGGAGGGGGAGTTGACTGAAGCACCGGCTCTTAGCAACAATAAGACAGAATCGGCTTTACCCTGCCATGCTGCGTAGTGTAGTGGACGCATGCCTAGAGACAGAAATGTGAATGAAGGATGGAAATGATGCGACAGAAAAGAAAAAAAAAAAAAAAGCAATTATCAGTGTTACTGTTATTATGTTTGCAGATAAGGCTTGAAGATTTTGGTACTTTTAACAAAAAGTCTGGAATCATCTTAGAGTATGTCAGAAAACTTTGGCCTCCACTGCATTTGTAATTTTAAATTGATCTTTTCCAAGTCATCCAACTTTATGGAAGTGAATAACCAAGCGCTTCATCAAAGGAAAAAGCAGATGTTACTTTTTGGTACTCGTTTTTTTTTTTCTCTTAGTATTGACAAGTCTATTAAAGAGACCAAAACCAACACATTTTCTGACTGCCCTGAATTTGGAACTCAGCTCCATGCCTGCTGGAGACAAACATCTTCCGCAGCAAATAATTCATGGATTTGGGCTGTAAACACGATGGTGACATAGTAACACCTCATAAAGTTGTTAAGTGAATCTGTGAGCAAACAATTGCGTATTTACATATCCAGCAAACACAGAGCAACACTAGGACTGTTTGATTGTTGTGTTAGCTGCGTTTCTTGTCACTTTTCTTGGTGATTAGTTTATTATTATTATCATATGTGTATTATTTGCTCTGTAAAGTAGTAGATGATAAAACCACAACAATGAGCTGAAAGCTGCTATATTACCCTTTACAACTGCGGGGTATTAATTCATCATAACAATCACTACTTTCACTTTAATATTACTCAGTCATTTGTGCAACAATAAAAACAAGCCACAAACTATCGTGTGTGTCTGGCTAATGAAGTAATACTTTATACCATCTAATGCAACAGTGTGGCTCACTGGTGTGTTTTGGTGACAGTGGAGCTTAATGGCAAAGAGGAAAGAAATATATCAGCTTTTTAAAATAACATATCAGCTTTACAGCACTGAGGAAAGAGGTATATCAGCTTCTTGAAATGCAGATAATACCTGGTTTTGGTATTTTCATGTTCATAATAAGAAACCCCTGTCTATTATTGTGAAAGTGGTGAGCATTTTGCTTCTAAAATGCTGATGCTTTCCCAACATTCGAACTAGCAGCTTTGATTAATTACAGCACGGCAAACATCTGATGTCATCAACTATTTACCGTCATGTGCTGACTAGAGCCAAACAAATCACAAGTAAGAAAATCAGCAGATAAACTGATAAAGTTATGATGTGTCTAACTCATTAAATTGTGGCTTTTCCAGAGGGATATAATGTCTCTGCTCTCTTAACTGGAAGGGTAATGTTACATTTTACAACATAGTAATAAATTCTATTGGCATCAGTGTTGGTGGTTGATGCTTCAAGGTGTCTCTCTAGAGTCTAAGGTTTCCAAGTTGATGAGCACTGTCACATTAGGATATGCCATTGTCCCATTTCCTTGCACTGATCAGCAGCAAAGCTTTAGAAAAGCAGCAATTTTCTAACATTTGTACCTTGTCTCCTTCTTTGTGTACAGGGAGTCCTGAGTGTGCAACGGGCGTTAAATGACTGATGCGGCTGGTATGTTTTGCAGTTAGTATGCAGGTGAGCCAGGATTCAAAAACTGACAAGCTGGCAGGTTGTGCTAAAAGTTAAATTCAACCTTTAAAATGGTCCAACAGGAATGTATAGTGGGCCGCAGAGGCGTCTCACACTTAGAGCATGAGCACTACACGCCTCTGGTCTCAGCAGGCGACTTGCCACTCCTTCTACTGTATCTGTTCCGCTTGAAGTCTGGAGATATTTACCGTGGCACTGCTGTCACTGCATGGCAGCCAAACTTCAAAGTGAATCATATTTATTCATTATTCAAACTTATTTCCAGCTGAGTGTCAGAAAGCTGTTGAGAAACTTCTAGGCTCAATTTAACCCCCACTGACTTTTGGAGTGTGAGAATTTTCTTTCTTTTTTTTTTTTTTTTTCCTAAGTTGTAGTTTTGCGTGGTGACGGTGTTTTAGCTGTTAAAACTGTTCAGCCATTGTGATACCGTTGATGTCCTTGATATCCACTGTGGCCTGGGCCTCCAGCAGCAGAGACAGCAGCTCTGTGGTGCCTGTCAGGGCAGCATGGTGCAGCGCCGAGAAGCTGTGGGCAACACATAGAGGGAGAGGAAAAAGAGAGGAGGGGTGAAGGGAGAGCAAGAGAAGGGGGGATGTGGAGATGAGAGGAGTTATAAATCATACTGATGACTTTACAGCAGGTGAGCCCTTTTCAAAACTCCAGACTGAGATGACGAATGTGCTCACATCACACCCCTCATCTAGTTGTGTCAAGTTTTGTGTGTGTGTGTGTGTGTGTGTGTGTGTGTGTACAATCCTATTACAAAATGCAGCCACAGATAAGAATTTATGTGTTTTTTATGAGTGCATTGCTATCCACCCATCAATACGTCAAACTAAGAAGACAACTGCGGATCGTCTTACATGTATGCAAGCAGTATTTGTGAATATAGCGAGTGTGTGTGTGGATATATATATGCAGTATGTGTCTTCGCAGTGATAGAAGATAAGTGTTCATATACTGTACGTCCCCACATCAAAACTACAGATTGTGATAAGAATCGTGTGTGTGTGCGTGGGTGTGTGTGTGTGTGAGCTCATCAAAGCTTCAGAGATGAAATATGTGTGTGCGTTCATCTCTGAGTGTCAGGTTGCAGTATATTCCACTGAAACAGGCATAAAGTCTTTAGCAAGTTCTGCTTTTGCTTGAGGCGACACAGACACGGGAAATGTGAAGGAGGTGACCCTCCGAGGCAATACATAAGCAGAGCTGTAGCTGGGAAACAGTCTCCTCGTGTGGGTATAAAATAAGAATGCCAGTGCAGTGGGCCTTCAGGTGATTTCACGCAGCCTCAGGCAATTGCTGTAGAAGCCCTCAGCTTTTGGGCATGGGCGGCAATAAACAGCCTGGATGCACTTGGAAACATAACTTGCGAGGCTGTCTGAACAGAAGTCTGCATATTTCCCATTAACATTGCCACTGTGGCTCTATGCATCATGCAGACTTTACATTCTCCACCTCTGTTGTGGGGATTTGGGTATATATGTACAAACATGCAGGATGATTAGTCCACATGACAAACTGTCTCTGATTTAGATCTAAACGCAGTAAACAAAGTGACTGTTGCAGACGACGCATTTCTGTGTTTGCATTTGTAAGATGCAAAAACAAATTTGTGAAATGATTATTATGAAAGTTGCCTTTTTTTTGGAAAGCCGCAGGAGGCTCGTGTTGGATATTTTTCATAACTTGAGATGTTGCTCAGGCTCAGCCTACTGCACAGGGTTTTTCTGCACTGCATCTTGTGCAGCAGCAGCGATGCCCACCAGTGAGGAACCAACAGTTTGTTCCCTCACTGCAAAGGAAAAACGAGTCAGGACAAAATGGGTTGAATAAATGTCACAGAGCAGTGATGAACATGTGGTGTGATGCCTACAGTACAACAGAACATTCACCGTTTAGGTGTGATACTGTAGTTTCTATTAGCGACATTGTTCCTTTAATAACATGTCTTGTTTACAGTGAAAGTGGACATAGCTGACAGAAGTGACGGCTCATAGTGTAACCTCAATCTTTACATACGAGCTCAAATCTACAAACGGTCTGCATACACTACCCAATCACCGAGGTTAAATGTAAAAACTAACACCACTGTAGTGCATGTGTAGGTAGCTGGAGCTGGGAGGAGATTAGCCAAGCTTAGCACAAAACCAACAATAAAAATCACAAGAAAGAAAAAAATAAACTTTACAGATACTTCTAAACTTAATCAAATAAAAAAACATTCCAACTTCCTTCTTTAATCCCTAATCAAAAAGAAATGTAAAAACTCTGACAACAAGACAAAAGAAAGCTGCTCTTAGTCACTGCACCTGACTGTTGTTTGTTCTAGCACTGCAACTAAAACTACATTTTTCATGTTAGATTATTTTTGTGAGCAAAAAAAAAAAATGCGTGTTTGGTTGTGATCTTTAAAGGGATTAATTGGTTTATATCATTATGAAGACAGCCAGGCTTAGCTTTTTTCCCCTCTCTCCAGTCTTTCAGTATAGCACGTCCTGCCATATAGTCTATTTAACAATTGTCACACTAATTTATAGGCCTATGGGTTTTAGGATCTGATCAGTGTATTATTTATACTTTTTCTCTCCCCTCTACTTACATTTAATACATATTGTCATATATTTTACTTAACTTAATAAATATTACTTTTTGTATCCTTCCACAAATAGCAAGACTTTGCTCTTATATCATACTGAACACTGTTTTGATGTGATAACATTGGAATCTGATATTGGCAAGTAATTAGAATCTGTAAATCTTTCACATGACCACGATCCTGGATAGGCTGATAAATCCAGAGTGAACAGAGTGACTGCATGCAGTTCAGACTTGTGCTGTGTTGAAAATGACACAAAAATGCTAGTCGGTCTAACCTGGAAACATTGCTCTTGTGACTTCACTGGAAAAGTGATCAGGGTGTTCATTCAGACATAAAGCCAACACACTGAGATGCCGTCCGATTATTGGAAAGGAGTGCACGTCCAAAGGGGCTTTGGAGATTACAAAGTTTAGACATGAGTCTGTGTTGATCTGAAATCTGAGGGATCTGCAGACTGTGAGGGGGCTTATCTAATCAGTCACATTGTTTAGGTCTGTGTGCTCCTCAGCCACACACACACATACGCACACACACATACATCTAATTACTCTTCCATTTATCATCTACTATATGGCATACCTCATCCACAGCTTGAGTCACCTGTTACAGCCACTCTCTACAGACACACACGCTGTCTGAATCTGTCTCCCTGGAATGGTGTTGACTCACTGACAACTGACTGTTTGCTCACCTTCTGTTCTCATCTTCATATCCTCTGCACGGATCTCATACACCACAGGTAGCCCCTTCCTCTGTACCACTCTCTCTCTCTCTCTCTCTCTCTCACACACACACACACACAAAACTTCACAGATGGACATGTTTGATTTCAACACCCCTATTGTGTACAACCTCCCACACACTGCACTGACCCTGCATGCAGACACACGCAGCAGGCCTAAGTCAACACACGGTCACATTACATGCGTGCTAACATTCAAACTTGGAGAGGAGGATTCCTTGCTTGTGACAGATCCCCCAAAAACACATTTTATAAAAAGTAAAAAAACTAAACATCTTCACATGTGTGTCTGAAACATAGTCTAAGTCTAGGGAAGAACAGAAGAGCCAAATTTAATTAAAAGCCAGCATATCATATTACACTACTTTATGTGGTTACAGGTTAAGATAAAAAAAGGTCCTGTTCACACCTGTTGCACTCCTGCTATTTATATGATCCGGATAATGGATGTATGTGTTTACTTTTACTTTACATAGTACTTAAAAAAAAAACAAAAAAAAACAACAACAGTGACATACCATGAGTGAAATAAGCAGTCAACATGATGTTCACCTTGAAACTGCAGAGTACTGACAGCAGTCTTGAAAACACAAATTCAGACTTCTCGGGTTTCATACTTAACTAAATTATAGTACAACTCCTGTTAACCAATCAGGTGGGACTTTCCATATCATTAGTCCTCAGAATCATTTTCCGATTCAAACATGTATCAGGCTGAATGGGATTAAATCTAACAAATATAAAACTCTTTAGACTTTCCAAATGTTACAGGATCGAATTGATCAACTTCTGATGCTATAAAGAATCATTTTACAGGGTTTGTAACACAGAGAAATCTATACACAGTAGCTACTTATCCACGGACGGTATGTGGGAAAAATGCTATTTGGGCAAGCATGTGATCACCTGACATCATGTGACAAATTTGGAAGTTGCAGTAACATGGATTGGCCACTGTACAAACATCAACACAAAGCCAAGCACTATTCCTGGGGGCTTGGAAGACACAAGTTGTTAATAATAGCTCCTGCACTTCCAACACGCTGTCTCCCATGACACCATAGTCCTTTTGTATAGCAGGAACATAACCTTTGTAAACAATACAGTAGCTCCTTAATGAAGAAGTTTAACTTCAGATTAAGGGGGGCTGAGGCTTCGCACATGGTCAGCTCAAACCACTCCAACTGCTATTCATA